GTACGGTACGGCGATTGCGACAGGTGGGGCGCGTACGGCTGTTGCGCCTTACGGTAGGCCGTTACCTTAGCGACGGTGCCTTGAGCCCGGGCCCGCTGCTGTCTAACCCCGGTTCTTTCAACCGAGCGCGGCCTAACGGAGCTTCCCGCCGTCCCCGGCCTCCCACAGGGGGAAAGCTGCGGCCATGGAGAAATACCAGGTGCTGGGCCTAGTGGGGGAAGGCAGCTACGGGATGGTGACCAAGTGCAGGAACAAGGAGAGCGGGCAAATCGTCGCCGTCAAGAAGTTCCTGGAAAGCGAAGACGACGCGGTGGTGAGGAAGATCGCCGTGAGGGAAATCAAGCTGCTGAAGGTGAGGGGAGGGTAAGGAGAGCGAGCACGCGTTTTTCAGCAAAACAGGAACAACCTGTTGGCTTTGGACTTAAATTTATAGCTTTTTGTTCACCTGGGAGGCATTTATTAACGCTGCACTGAGGTGGTAATGTAAAGCACTTGTAGGGTATCTAGTAATTTGTCCTGCTGCGCGTAGTGAGAAGGCTGTAGTTTAGCATGGGTGTTCCCTGGAGTGTGGATGCCTCTTCAGAGTGTGTCTTGAATCTTAGTCTGGTGTTTAAATGTCTTCGTGAAGGTGAATGTCTTTTTCAAACAAAGTAGTAATCTTTGTGGCTGTTGTCTGAGCTTTTTTTGCAGTAAAAGGTGTGAGTTGTTTAGAACTGAAGACTATGAGTAAGAGCTAACTGTAGGGAGTTGATGCTTTCTTGGGAAGAAACTGCCTCTTGGGACTCTTTAATAGTCTTTTAAGGAGTGGTGTTTCTTTACTGAAGTTACATGATAGGTGTAAATTTCAGCTGTTGGGTCAGTTGTAAAAGGGAAATGCAGTTGATTCTAAGCATGGTTTGCAAAGTAGAACTAACAAAGTCCAAACCAACAGAGGCTTTGACTGGGCCCTGTTTGTATTTTTCTGAACAGCCAAGCCACGGTAGATTCATTTAGCCTGTGAGTTGTAGTTTTGCAGAGCTGCTTTTCCCTTGGGGTGCTGTGCCGGGTTGACCTGGCTAAACCTGACTTGATTAGAATCTGGTCTGAATACATGCCCTGTATTGAGCAGGGAAAGGTACGAGGGAGCAATGAGGTTTCTGTTGCTTCCTGGTGGTAATTGTGTCCCCCTGTGTTGTGTACTGAATTTGAGTACTTTGCTGAAAAGGAAAGAAATGCTGTATTTTTAAAATTTGCAGGTGAGTGATGACGTGGATGTGTAACAGACTGGGTACCGGTGTTACAAGATGTAGATATGCCTTTCTAGGAATGTTTTATGTTATTTTACTAATGGCACTTTCCTGGCAGGATTGTACTGAGGCAGGAGGAGAGCAGGTATAGAATTCCCTGAACCTCATCAATCAGCGGCTGGCTGCTAGGCTGAAGCCAGCTGGCATCACGTCCTTTGCTGTTTGAGTGCGTGATTTGCCTGGTATCAGTTGTGGATGCTTTATACGCACCTAACTGTCCAGTCGTCCTTCAGCCTGTTGGGATCTTATCAGCAGCGTTATGTGGTGTAGCCTCATGGTGTGGGCTGGTTTATTAAAGGTGCTTTTCCTCATGGGCTGTAGATAGTCTGTCTGGGAAAATACCTAGGAGCTTTAGATAAACAGGGCTTTGTGTGTGTGCTCTTCAGTGTTTTGTCTTACGGTCCTTCTCCTGCTTCTTTTGGCTTTGTTCTTCCTACAGAAGCTTTTGCAAGTTCCTCATCTGTTTCCCTGCTAGTTTTTTCTGCTATGTTCCTTTGTGAATAGGATGCCAAGGATGGAGAGTGGCATTCAGTGCCAGGACATACATCCCTTGTTGTTCTTGCTCTTTTGACCACTGCCCTTGTGTTTGCCACTATAACATCTAGCAGTAATTTTACCATTTTCCTTTTCCCTTGTCCCAGAGGTGGCTCGCACAGAAGAATGCTTGTCCCTGTGCGTGGGCACCCGTGGTAGTTTGAAGTGTTGGGATGCGGGTGATCTGTCTGGTGAAGAAATGAAGAAAAGTCTTATTACAGTTGGAGTCCCTCTAGGCTTTTCCTCTGATAGGCAGTTCTAGAGGTGGGAATGCGTGCAAGTCTGTCTCCTCTTCTCTTGGCTGCCACAAGTGTCTTTTTGCAAATCTCCCAGACTATAGTCCCTGTGCTGTAAAGGGGAAAAAAGTCATCTCTGCCGTCACCACAAGAGTGACAGACCCTTAGAGTTAATAGAAGTGTACGGGCTGGAGCTTGAGACGCAGCCAGCTGCTCCAAGCGTTGTTCTCCCAAACTCTTTTAAAGCAGACCTGGGTGAGTCTGGATCGTACCTGATCTGTTGGCCAGACTTGCTTAGTAACTGAGTCAAAGCACGTACTGCCTCCCAGGTGTGCTGGGAATTAACTTGTTTTCCCTGGGGAAATGGCCACTTAGGGAGGGGAATGTTTCCATATGTATCTCAATAAATGTGGCCTCTCACAGTGTAAATAAATACCTTGAGATTTAATCTTTTTGGAGTTTATTCACTTAAATCCTCTCAGAGAACCTGTTTTTTTTCTCTCCTGTTCTGGAGTTTGGGCAGAAATTTCATCTTTGCTGAAACACAAAACCTTTCCAGGTTTCCTGTGCTGTGAAGAAATTATTCTTGACAAAACAGTTTTTTTCTAATAATCTTTTTTAAAATCTTCACTTTTCAGACCTTCTAAGGTCCCCTCCAAGTCCCTGTGCTCTGCAGTCCTTTTGTGTCTTGGCCACGATCCCTGGGCTATGGTGCTGCCTTCAGGCAGCCTCCGATGATATTTCCCTGCTAGGCTCCAAGCTAATGAATAACTGCTCGTTGTAGCATGGCCTGTTTTGTTAAAGTGGTGTGTGATAAACCAGTGTTAAAAATGTGTAACAACTTGGAGGTAGATTCTTGTCTGGTCAGAATGTGATGACAAAATAGCTAGAAAATATGGCTGTGCTTTTTTTCTTTTCATTTACATTGCAGTCTTGTTCTCGAAGCTGTCTTCAGCTTTCCTCTCCACATAATATTAGAAAAAACACCTAACTCTTCAAATTCTTGGCTTGTGAATTTTCATTCTGAATCCACTAGACGCAGTTTAATAGAAGCTGTTTAATAGTTAACACTGTTTTAAGTAAGAATGCTGAACCTTCCTGTTATCCATTCAGTGTGCTTCTATTCTGGGGCACGCTAGTTATTGTAAACTTGTATAAGCTGGCAGTGGCAAAAGAAATGTTTTGGGTATGGTAGGAGCTTAAAAGAAAAGTCTTCTATCAGCCTTACCAGAAAAAAATTAAGATACAGATACTGAGTAGTTGGCGATGAACTGGCACCTAGGTAGAACAGAGAGGTATTGCGACTGCTTTTGTTTTTCTTTTAAATGGGGATGTAAGAGCTTTTTCAAAAGAGGAGATACAGAAAGGAATGACAGAGGAGAAGAGTAAAACTTCCTGGAAATGTGGGAGAAAAGACATGAATCGGGTTTGGGTTGCTGGGAGAGGGAAAAAGCTTGTTCTTAAAGCCTTTGTGCCTCTCCTTGTGCCCTGCCCTGAGGGAGCAGGCAGGGGTAGCACAGGGTTACTTGGTCAACTCAATGAGAATATCTCCTGAAGAAGTTTGAGTCACAGTCCAGCCCAACCTTAGGGAACAAGCTGTGTTTATTGGTGCTTGAGCTGTTTGTAAGCAAACCCGGGGAACTAGGGAGGGATCTCTGCAGCTCAGCAGTCATGGCTAAATGCTCTGTATGGTCGGAGACGTACATGGTGGCATGCTGAACTTTGCAGTACAAACCATCCTGCTTTGTCTTTCTTACTAGCTCCAGGACCTTTGGGTTTTCCTTTGCTGTGGCAAGTCTTTGTGGGAGATGCTGTTGGGTGCCTGCTGTCTGTCACGTGTTAACCACGTGCTCCTCTGGAATTTTTTGACTTGCTCAAGATTTCTATTGTGTGGAACACAAGCTCGCTCTAAAGCTTGTCAAGATCAGGGCACGAGTTAGTGTTGACTCTTAGGTGAGGAGAGCATTGTGAGAGGCAAGACGCATGAGATCTTTGAATGGCAGAACAGTATATTTTGACCATCCCCATTAAAAACAAATGTCCTTAGTGTTTTATTTATTTTTAGGTTACAAAACCAGGCGTCTGCATATATGAGGTGGTGGAAATCCTCCAGATAATGCTAAGAAGTAAAATAAAAATAAAATACTTGGCAAAATAAAACCTATTCTGAAATATCAGTAAGCTGATTTTAAGAATAAATAAATGAGAGCGCCATGACAAGAGCAGCGTTCCATGGCGGTGCACCAGGTGGGGTGCAGTTAAAAGTATCTGGTTGCAGTTTACCCATTACATGTTGTCACACTCGCACAAAATATTTCCTGTTTTATAACAGCAACTCCGGCATGAGAATCTCGTGAACCTGCTGGAAGTGTGTAAGAAGAAGAAACGGTGGTACCTGGTGTTTGAATTTGTGGATCACACGGTGCTCGATGACCTTGAGGCGTTTCCAAATGGACTAGACTACAGCAGGGTTCGGAAATACTTATTTCAGATTATGAGAGGAATAGCGTTTTGTCACAGTCACAATGTAAGTACGCACGAGAAGTCAGCTCTGCAGTTAACCTTGGATGAGTAGGTACAGAAGTGTGTATTTTTGAAATACATTAAAACTTAGAGGAAATAACGCTGAAAAGGAAGAGGTGGGGCAGAGGGGCTGAACTGAATTTCATATAAAATGTCAGAGCTTGATGTCAGCTGCCCCGGAAGTCTGTCTGATTGATTTGTGAGACTGTTTGAAAGGAAGGGTCCAGAAGTGGGTCGGGATCCAGTATGTGGTGGCACCTTGTTGTAGGTTGGCTTGTCTTGCAGAGGGAGGAAGTTTGCTCCTGATAGTATTTATGTAAACAGGTAGGCTTGCTTTTTCTCTTGGCTATTTTTTGAGTTTTCTAACAGGTTTGCCAATTTCATCGTGGTTTTGTAACTATCTATATAAACATATGCATGTTTATTTGTGTTTACGTTTGGAAAATGGTGTCTCCTATGGATTCTTAAAATACTCTTCCATTTAACTGCAGGACATGCCCGTGGCCCTTGCAATACTTAACAGCTTTTAAACTTGTGGTCAAGGCCAGATTTTCAAACATAATAAATTGTGCCTATTAATATAGTAAATACACCTGCAGAACATCTGCAGAGAGCTACATAAAATAAATGCTTCTGCGTGCAAAAGTTAGAGGTTCTGTGTTTACCTGTGCACTTGGGTCGGCACTTGTTCATCCATTATGTGCGTGCAGCTGTCTTTTACGGACTCCGTATGTTTCCCGTGCCTGCAAAAATGTCATTTTCTACCTGGATGCGAGAAAGCTACTATTTTTGGTGAGCCAGTCAATTTACTGTGTCAAAGTGGGCGAATTTATTTGCCTTGACTTGCTTTTCTCTGTGCAGATAATACATCGGGATATTAAGCCAGAAAACATACTAGTTTCCCAGTCGGGAGTTGTAAAACTGTGTGACTTTGGCTTTGCCCGTACCTTAGCGGCTTCTGGGGAAGCTTACACGGACTACGTGGCAACCCGATGGTACAGAGCGCCAGAGCTGCTGGTGGGAGATATCAAGTATGGCAAGTAAGACCCCATGCGAGGCTGCAGAAGAGTTGTGGGCTTGTGAGGAGCGTGGAGGGGGGTGCTCTTTTTTTTGGGGGAGGCAGTGGACTATCGCTTGGCAAACAGGTTAAAGGGATGCTGTTCAGCATTCCTTGGTGATTGACTTGAGGAGGCTATGATAAACCTCCTTCCTGTGCAGTTGAAGTCATGGAGGGAAGGCAGAAAAGTCGCTTCAGGCCATTCTAGACAGACATTTGGGGAGGGAGGAGGTGGGATGAATGAGATTGGTCTTACTGGGATCCCCAGTCCCGCAAAACCAGGTCGGAAGTTAAAACTGTGTTATTCACAGGTCTGTTAGTACAATTGTGCAGGTTTATGTGTGTCCCTGTATTACTTAATTTTCAGTAAATGTGCCTGAAGAGCGGGTACCTGCACAATGAGGAACTGCTTACCTTGGTGTTCTCTAAAGTGCAAGATTGTACTAATGTGTAATATAGTATTTTTAAAGCATTAGGCTTTAGAACCTGATTTTACATGTGAGTCTTTTGCTAGCATTTGCCTGCTTCAAGGGCTGAATCCCTGCCATTCCCTAGAGCACTTGTAAGCTTGGAAAACAGCTGTCCTGCTTCCCTTGGGGCTTGTAACCTGCTCAAGACATGCTGTGCGCTGGCCTGGCTCAGCCTTTGGATCAGAGTCACGAATCAAGCCATGCTGAGCTGGGGTGGTGGTGTTTTCAGTGTGGTTATTTTTCTCTGACAGGGCTGTGGACGTGTGGGCTATTGGCTCTCTGATAACAGAAATGCTTACGGGAGAGCCCCTTTTCCCTGGGGACTCAGACATTGACCAGCTCTACCACATCACCAAGTGCCTGGGTAAGAACAGCCTGTCGGGCTCCTAGCGCCTGCGTAGTAATGAAGGGGTCAAATACATCGTGACGAGGGGGTGTGGAGAGAAAGCCTGTGGTGTGTGCGGAACTGTTTCTGACAGCGTGTGTACTCTTAGTGCCTTTTACAAAGGGGGAGCTAGGAGCTTGCGAGTACAGCATCAGTTCATGGCACGCAGGTGGAACGAGACTGGCCCAGGCTGTAGCTTTTGCAGAAGTGCTGACCCAGTATTTCAGCCTCTCGAATGTTTCACGGGACTGTTCTTGCTTTGTTTGTGTGGTTCCAGGTAATTTAATTCCAAGACACCAAGAGTTATTCTATAAAAATCCCCTCTTTGCTGGCATGAGGTTGCCTGAAGTGAAGGAGGCTGAATCTCTGGACAAGCGATATCCCAAGCTCTCTGCTGCAGTGCTAGATTTAGCCAAGGTAATTAAACGATCACTCACTATGAACAGTTGATCTTTGGAAAGGTATCCCAACAAACTTGGCCCCTCATCTGCTACCTACATGGATGCTTTTTAGGTAATACACAGCCCCTTGCTTTTTTAGTCGCTAGCAGAGCTGTGCGGGTACAGTGTTTTCTGCCAAGCCTCCCTCTACCTGCTGGTGAAGGCACTGCAAGCAAGTGGGATGGGGTGAGAGCGCATCCCTTGCTCTTGGAGCTACGCGTCTACTTCCTGGGAGTTAGGAAACCTACAGCTCTGAAATAAATTCTGAAGAATCCTTCCAGGGAGTGTTTTTGTGCTTTCACACAGTAATCTTGGAGCACTGTTACATCGGTTAATTAAAACAACCTTGGGCTCATCAATATAACAGGCCCTAGAAGGGGGAATTCTGCAGCTTTTCACTCAGAAATGCTAAAGTCCTTGCTTCGTTTCTAATGTATTTGGCCTCTAATGTTTACATTGATTTGACAGAGGTGTTTGCAGATTGATCCAGACAAAAGACCATCCTGTGCTGAACTCCTGCAGTGCGATTTCTTTAACAAGGATGGATTTGCTGAAAGGTAAACAGTTCATTTCTTGCTCAAAGCAGGCTAATATTAGAAGGAAGTTAAACAGTCGTGCTTGAAGATTGCATGCTGAGTCCGCAGAGCTGACAGCCGCTGAGTTTTGTTTGGTTTTAGCCTTCCTGGAAATAAAACAGTTGAAAAGGAACTCATTGCAGCGGTATGTTTGCCTCATTACCTTGTCAGGATGTAACTTCGTCAGTGTGCGCGCCCAGTGTCACACCATATCGGGTAGTAGAGTCTTACGCTGAGGTCACTGTCTGCATCTACACCAGGCTGGGATGCGACCACCTTTATTGCTCTGGTGTGTAAAGAGTGTGCTTGTAAGATTTTACTTACTTTAACGGATACATCATATTTGGCTGGCTTCTCATTAGTTAAAAAGGCATGCTTTGTTATATTACGTAAAAGGCTGTGGAAGCCTGGGCTGGACATGGAACAGTTGAAAGAGAACGCATTTCAGCGATGCATTTGCCTCATTGCCTTGTCATGACATGAATTCATCAGTGTGTGCACCCAGTGTCACACCAACTGGTGATAATATTAACAGAAACTCTTTTTTTCTTTTCTTCTTTTTTTTAATACGGAATGTAGATTTGCTCAGGAGCTTAAATTAAAGATTGAGAAAGATGCCAGAGACCATCAATTACAAAAAAAATCAAAAATCAGCAAAAGGGACAAAGATGATGTTTTAGAAGAAAGAAAAATGCTTGGTGTCCAGGTTGGTCCACCTCTGTTTTCCAAACCTGCATTTATTTATTTTTTCATGTTTTAAAATCGCTATATAAGTATGTGCAGCAGTTTTTCACAGCAAAAATATAAGAATAATTCTCCATTTCAATTTTTTTTTTCCAAAAAGACTAGTAAGTGCTATGTGTCTGCGGTGGGTTGACGCTGCCTGGGGACCAGGTGCCCCCCCAGAGCCGCTCTACCACTGCCCTTGTTCACCAGACAGGGGAGAAA